CCAAGCCAGAGAACCGGATCACAGGGCTAGCTCTGGACTCAGAGCAGTCCTTGTCGGGCCTCACGTTCTCTGAGCAGAGCCAGGCCTGAGACCTGCTATCTGAAGCAGGAAGTCCATCTGCCCCAGGTCAAGGCACAGGGACTTCAGCAGCCATCTGGGTCAGGACACAGACTCCACCCCCAGATGGTTCAAATGAAGAGAGATTGATGGAGGGGTAAGGAGGGCTCGGGGACTACTTGCCAGGGATAGTGAAGCCCCCAGACACCAGTGACAGTGGGAGCTGTCACCACCCTTAGGCCAAAGGGCTGCTTGGAGGGAAAGGTGAGAGCCAGAACTGTCAAGGAGGGGCTGCTGGCAGGAGCTGTGGTCCTGGGGCCGGGAGCAGGGAGAGAACCCCCTGCAGTCTCCCATTTGCTTAACCTAAATAGAAAGCAGAGGGCAGGGAGGCCTGGTTATCCAGCCTATGGGGGCCAGCCCAAGCACAGAGCGTGGGCCCAGGGAGAGGAGCAGGAGTAACCAGTGCCGGCCCATGAGGCGACGGCAGGAAGTGGCACCAGAGAGCGGGGGTGCCCTCTTCTGCCACCCTCTCCTCTTGGCCGGAAGAATGCACTGAGCCTTCCTTCTAGATCTTGAGGTTTCTGCAGCGACCCAATCAGGCGATTGGGTGGTCTCCCAGGTCCTGGTGGCACGGTGCCTGTTCCCATCTCCCGAGGTCCCAAAGTCGTGTCTGCCAGACCCAAGACTGTGTGCATCAGTCTCGTCCCAACCAAGAGGCAGACCAACCCAGTCATCTGGACAGTCAAGGGCGAGACGTGCTCCTCGCCCTGCGGCTCTGTGGTCTGAATCCCAGAGTGTGAAGGAACTGTGGCGGGGCGCCTAAGCCAGCCGTCCATCTCCAACCAGGACCAACCTGACTGCCCCTGCCAGTCTGGAGACGTGTTTTCTGGACCTCAGTGAAGGAATTTGCTCCAGAATGTTCCCTGAGCGCACTCTGTCCGGAGCATTGTGCTAACTGTAGCCAGGCCAGGGCCTTCCCTCCGAGGGTCGAGGTCGAGTTGGGGAGCAGCACACAGCGGCGTTACAGGGCAGGTGCCAGGATGGAGCCCGCGTGCAGGGCGCAGGAGGACCCCTGGCTGCAGCCTGTGTGAGGACGGCGGGGCCTGCAAGTCGGCTGTGACCAGGGAGCTCTTCCAAGCTGGCGCAGACGCTACAAAGGCCCAGAGACAGGACATACAGAACCTGAAAGGCAAAGGAGGAAGGGAGGTGGCCAGTGCTCGGTTTTCCCGTGGTTGAGATGGGAGTTAGGTGGCGGTCATGGGACTAGGCGACCCACGATCCACGATAGGAGAAGCCCTTGGCTCCGTGGGAGGACACAGGCAGCGAAGTGGGACTGGGAGAGAAGCGTACGGCCGGGAGCAACTCCCTGCCCCCTCTGTCGAGCCCCCAGCCCTGCGCTGCCCCCGAGCGAGCGCCCCAGCATGCACGGGGCCGAGGGCTGTAGAGCAGCAGAGCCCGTGCCTGGGCAGAGGTGGAGGACGGCTCTTTCTGGGGAGGAGGTGGCTCAGGCGTCGGTGGAGCCAAGTGTGGCACAGACCAGGGAGCAGCTGCTGGCAGACCTCAGGCCTGAGGAGCCAGGGCTGCACGTCCCCTCTGCTGCCTGGACCTTCCTTGCAGCTCAGCGTCTCCCCCTGCAGGAGTCTGCAGCCCCGAGGGCCGGCTCTGTCCTCCTCCACACCCACCCCTGCCTCCCGGGACGCCCCAGTGCGACAGGCCTCATTCGGCTCTGTTCAGGACACGCAGTTCCTCAGCACTCAATCTAGGGTCCCTTTTAGCCTCGAATCACTGTCCTCATGCCCACGACAGTTTGAGACCACCACAGTGCAGCCACCCAGGCAGTGGGCACTCAGGAAGGCACCCTGATTGCTTATTAGCCTGCAGGGGTTAGAACTATTTTTGGAGAACCACATATTCTGCTCTAACTTCACATACAAAAGAGCTTTTGTGTCCTACCTACCGTTGTTCCTGCTCTTTAGCGTAATAATGGGGAGTCGAGTTGAGGGCATACATAATAGTAACAGCCCACATTGAGTGAGACCTCTTATGTGCCAGCCAGTTCTGTGCTAGACTTAATAGTTCCTTGAATCCTCCCATCCATTCTCTGCTGCTGCCTCTCTTTTACACATGAGGAAACAGGCTCAGAGAGGTTAAGCAGCTTGCCCAAGAGCAGACAGCCTGCAAGTGGTGGAGCAGGGATTTGAACCAAAGTAGCCGAGGTCCAGAGCCCTCAGTCTTAGCTGCTGTGCCACCTCACCTCATGAGGTGAAGAACCCTTCCAAAGAGAAGGAGATGAGAATTTGCCAGGTTGATGTCAGAGGGAGGCCAGGAGAGGAATTGTCAGCAGCTCCTAGGATGAATGGAGACCTCGCCAGGCTTGTGTGGCACAGGAATGGAGCACGGGGTTCCAGGGGTAAGAAAGAACACGCTGGAATCAGAGAGGGAGGCCGGGGTTGGGGCATCTCTCCTGGGCCCCCTCCCCGCCTCTGTTAGTCCCTTCCTCTGACGTCAGCTTGGCTTCCAGCCCCTCGCCCGCCCCCGCCCGAGCGTGTCCCGGGGACTGCAGCTCCTCGGGGACCCTGGCACCAGGATGGAATACCCGCCACGCCAGACTCCCGACAAATTTCTCTCCCCCGTCTCCACACCCCAGCTCCCGCAATCAGGCTGTTTCTCTGCCTCGCCAGCTGAGAACGCGTGTGTTTTAAAGCTCTGAATGGGCCATTTCGGCTCAGAGTCCAGATGCATTTTTATATCCACATGGAAAAAAATGCAGAGGCTCTGCTGGCAGTCGGAAAGAGTTTTTAAATTAAAGTTAAAAAAAGAGAGAGAAAAGTTCCCTGCACCTGGCCCTTCTCAGAAAAACACAGAAGAGAGCAAAGCGCTTCTTCAGTTTGGCCACGCGTCTCGTTTTAAAAAGATGCATGTCCCACCGCCTCCCGCCAGTGTGCGCTTCAGATGCCGTTGTTTATGGGATATCTGCCCTGCGCCCCCCACGGGGCTTGTTGTGTGTAAGTCCCGCAGTCAGCCCCATTTTATAGATGAGGAAACCGAGGCTCCTAGTGGGGCAGGTGGCTTGCCCACGGTCACTGTGTTATTTTGCTAGGAGGCCAAGCAAAGTACCACTGACGGGGGGCCTCAAACAACAGAAATGTGTCCTCTCACAGTTCTGGGGGCCAGGAGTCCACGATCAAGGCGTCGGCAGTGTTGGTTCCTTCTGAGGGAAGGTCTGTTCCAGCCTCCTCCTCGCTTCTGGTGACAGCGGGCATCCTGGGCTTGCTGGCATTGCTCCGTCTCTGCCTCCGTCCTCACGCGCACTCGCCCTGTCTCTGTGTCCTCGCACGGCCGTCTCTCAGAAGGACACGGCCCCACTGGATTAGGGCCCACTCTGCTGCGGTGTCCTCGCCTTAATCTACTCACCACCCCTGCAGAGACCTTGTTTCTGAATAAGGTCACACCCTGAGGTGCCGGGCTTTGGGGTTTCGGCATCTCTTCTGTGGGGCACAATCCAACCCCTGACAGTCAGGCTGCGATTGACGGCCAGAGTTGCATTGGTTCTAGTCCCGAACCCTCCGGGGTAGCCACGGCCTGCTTGCGGCACCAGAGAAGCAAGAGGCACAAACCCCACAGCTCCTCCTCCCGTGCCGGAGCCCAGAAGCGGAGAAGCAGCCGCCCCTGTGCGCCATGCGTGCTGCCGAGCACCCGGAGCCGGCCCTGCTCACACCCTGCGCTGACCGGAGGCCTCCTGCTGCGAGCAGGGGCTTGCAAATGTGATAAGCCCATGGCGCCAACACAATGGATTCTAGCATCTATTGAGCGCCTACTCTGTGCCCCCACACCGCTCCAGGCACTTTCCCTGTTAGCTCCTCCTCCTCTCTAGAACCCTTAGGTTGGAGCACCATAACACTCCTGTTTGATAGATGAGGAAACTGAGGCCAGGGAGATGCGTTTAACTTGCCCGGGCTCTTGGAGCTGAGAATTCAGAGCCCGCCCTGCCCAAGCAAGGTGACTCCGGAGCCGCTCCCGGCCATGGCCTCTGCCCCACGGGAGCATTGCAGGAAGGGCCCCCGCGCAGCGCTCTGGTTGAGACCCAGCAGTGCTGAACGGGGAGCTCGCCGGTGCTGCAGGATTCAGTGATGTGAAGGGTCCAGAAGGGGCTAACCTAGAGGCGGGAAGTGGCTCGGTGCTGGCGGGGCAGCGACTGCTAATGAGTCCGCAGTTTCTCTGGGGTGATGATGATGAGAATGTTCTAAAATCGATATGGTGACAGTTACACACTCCAGATACACTAAAACCCACTGAATTGTGCCTTCAAATGGATGGCTTGTATGGTGTGTGAATTGTGTCTCAATCGAGCTGTTGGAAAACAAAAACCAGAAAGAGGGCAGTAGGCAGAGTGGGGAGGTCGGGAACAGCACAGAGCCAGCGGGAGGAGCGCGTGGCGGCACCCAGGCCAGCGGCCAGGAGGGCAGGGGCTGGTGAGGAGGCCGAGGGTGGCAAGGAGAGATGGGGCACAGAATCCCTAGGGCTAGCGAAGGACAGTGCCACCAAGCAAGACGGAGGGGCCTGCGTGGTCGTCATCGAGCGGCTTCAGGGCTCAGCTTTCTCACGTGGCACTGCCCCTGACAGCCGGGTGGGAGGCCAGTAGGCTAATGGGGTTGCCCACCCCCAATCGGATGTAACGTGGGATAGAAGGTGCCCACTGGGCCCAGGCCCTGACAGCAGATATATTGACCGCACAGTCACTTGCAGCTCTGTCCCTGGGAACGTACCCCACTAATTGAATAGATGTGCCCACGGCTCCCACACCCTCGCCAGAGATCAGGTGTCACCAGGGCGCAACCTTGCCTCCAGGTTTTCAAGGCCGGCAGGCAGGAGGAGGGCAGAGGGAGCATCTGCAATGAGGTCTCAGCTGATGCACTGTTTCGTTTCCTGTCCCCCGTCCCCAGAGAGCCTTCAACGCCCTGTGTCACAGCACCCACTTGTACGGCCGGAGGCTGGTCCTGGAGTGGGCCGACTCCGAGGTGACCCTGCAGGCCCTGCGGCGGAAGACGGCCGAGCACTTCCACGGTAAGAGCCCCGGGCTTCCAGAGAGCTGCCCTCCGCTGGGCCGGCCGCGGGGGCTTGGGCCCTGTCCCCTCCCAGCCTGTGCTGGGTGCCCCCGTCCGCCCCTCCACTCCCTGCCCTGTTTACCTACTCCGTGCCGGGAGGCTGACCCGTGTGGACAGTGTCGGTGGCCTCGGTGCCTTTTGGCTTCTAGTCAGGACGGGTCATTGGGAGGCCTTGCCGGGAATCGGGGAGGGGAGGGGAGTGGGGTCAGGGTGTTTCTCCCCCACCTCCCTCCCTGGTGTCCCTCCCAGCATGGAGACCGTGTCGTTGTGCTCATCCGTGTCACGAGTCAGTTCCTCCCTGGGCCCCCGTACCTGGCACAGTGTCTGGCGCAGGCCGGGCCCTCAGTCCAAGGCTGGGGAATAGACGAGCCAAGGCGAATGAGGAATGGGAGAAAGCAGGGTCAGTGTGCTGTTGCAAGCTCACGACTCAATAAGTCCCCAGATCCTGATGGGCAGAAGGAGAGCCCATCCTATCGACAGCCATTGACAGGCCCAAATGCACCTGTCGGCAAATGTTTGTGTAAGGGACTCTCCTGGTCCCCCCGCAGCCCCAGGCCAGTGGCAGACGCCGGCTCGGCAGTTCTGCCTGCGTGGGAGAGCAGCCCCTTCAATAAATTGAGTTCCAGCGACAGCAGTGTCGCCTCAGCCCAGCGAAGCTGTGGGAGTGCCTGTCTCCACTCAGCTGCAGGCCAATCCCAGCCGGCGGCAGGTAGAATAATAATGGTAATAAAGACAGTGGTTTGTTTGCGTTCGTCTTCCCGTTGATCCCCCCTCCGCAGCCCTGTGAGGTGGGCACGGTTAGCCCACTTTACAGGTGGGAGAACTGAGACCCACCAGGCACTGAGGTGACTCGTGAAACCTGCTGTTGATTCAGGACTTCCCGTGTGCCAGGGGCCGGCCTCAGGAGGGCACGCGCATTGTCTCGTTGCTCCTCTCAGCAGCCCTAGCAGCTGTGGGCGCTGCTGTCCCCATCTTGCCTGGAGAGGCTAAGCGATGTGTGCGCCCAGAGTCACTCAGCTAGCAAGGGGCGGAGCTGAGATTGAACTCCAGACCGACTGCAGCCCCTGCCCCCGTGCACTGTGTTAGACGGCAGACGCCGTTATCAAAGGGTCCGGCTCCATGAGATCTGAGGCGTGTGTGTGAGTGTGCCCTGCAGGGAGGGCCTCCTTCATCCTGACCCCCCCAGACCCTGAGCCTAGAATCTGCGGACTCCCTTCCAGCAGTGGAGGGACTAAATGGTAAATTGTAATGAGAAACAATGCACAGCCCTTTAGTGTTGACACAGCATGTCCTCGTAGAAGGCCTGTGGTGTGCGTGTTCCGTTGTCCCTGTTCACAGGTGAGGAAACTGAGGCGCAGAGTTGGGGGCTGGACGAGTCGGCACAGAGTGGTCGCTGGGGAAATGTGAGTCCCTCTCTCCCGCCCGCCCCACTGTCTGATTGATCTCTTCAGGAGACGGGAGGCGCTCACGGCAGCCCTGAATGTTCGGACCAGGGCTCTGGCCTCCTGCCCTCCTGGCCGGACACTTTGCCCTGCTCTGCTCCTTCCCTGTGGCGAAAAGTGCCCAGCTCATTTGTGTTGAAATCCGCCCTGTTCGGAGCTTCCAGGCCCTGGCAGACTCGAGGGCAGGTGGGATCCATGCCCAGTCGCTCCCCCAGCCCTGGTCTCCGCCAGGCAGGCACTCAGATCTCAGGAGGAGGCCCCGAGCCCATTTGCCTGAGCACCAAGGCCACGACAAAGGGCTCCCTGTGGAACGGTGGGCCTCGGAATGAAAGGCCGGCATCCCTGCCATTTGGCAGGGCCCTGCAAGAAGCTTGCTGGTGACGCCGTGGCCTCCGAGCTGCCCTCGGGGACAGTGACCCCAGCCAAAGACCTCATTGTGACCATGTGATCAGTGAGAGCCACCTGAGTTTGCCCCTGCCCTGAGGCTTGCTTCTCCAGCAGACCAGCCATTAACCTGGGGTGACCGTGAGGACAGGATGCTGGTGGGCCGAGAGCATCCCAGCGCCCATGACCAGGCTCTCTGTCCTCCAGGGGGTCCCTGACGAGCCTAGGTCAAGGTAGACAGCTCGATGTGCAGTGCAGGCGAGATGATACTAATCATTGTTATTATTACTGTAACAACCTTCATCTGTTAAGCCTTACTCCGTGCCAGGTCCTATCAGTGGGCTTTTACAGGTACTAATCCTGCGGAATCCTAGGAGGTAAATACTGTCCTCATCCTCTGTTTCACAGATGAGGAGACTGAGGCACAGAGTGGGCAGATAACTTGCCCAAGGGCACCCAGCCATGAGGGGCCGAGTCAGGAGTCAGACCTGCCTCTCAGCCGCCTGCTGCACCACACATTCTTATGGCAGGTGTGCGCCACTGTATGTGTCCCCGTGCCCGTTCTGTGACCTCGGGCAAGTCGCTCAGCCCCAGCCTTGTCGTCTGCACAATGCCCTGGGGTGCCCACCTCGGGAGGGGACGCAGGGCTCCGGGCGATGGTGCCTGTGGCGCTCCTGGCGCGTCGTGAGCATGCGGCCGTGGAGGGCTTCTCCCTCCCGTCAGGCTCTGTTCTCCTTCCTTCTCTGGGCCGCCGAGAACGCTGCCCGCCTTCTGCGCCTTCCAGTCTAGGCCGGCGAAGGGGGATGCCCTCTGGGCAGAGGACTGAGACGTAAGGGAGAGCCCCGGTTTTTACACACCTGGGCAGTAACAAACGTGCATGTGTGTATGAGAGAGAGAATGGATGTGCCCCAACACAGGCAGTGCTCAGGACAATGTGTCTGCCTCCGACTCGAGATGCCATCTGGTGGCCCATGTCTCGAGGGCGTCCCCATGCCTCGCACATGGTGGGCGCTTGTCAGTGCACTAGGCGATGCGGAGGAGGAGGGGGAGGGGGAGGGGGGAGGACTCTTACAGGTAAGACGGCATTCAGACCATTTTGCCTTCTGCCACAGTTGTGGAAGCTCGACATGCTTGGCCCCAGTCTGGTGCTCACTGCTTGTCCAGCTCCCAGAAGAAGCCAGTTTTGGCCCTTCACCCTCCCTGCCCCCAGTGGGAGCCTTCATTCCATCCTCTGTCCCTGGATGATGGCAGGGCGTTATGTTTCCTCTTACCTGTTGATGCTTACAAAACACCCGTCCCATCCCATTGAACAGCACAGAGCCGGTCTCTGAAAGTCATTTGAGAAGTTGCGCTGAGGACACAGACCTTGACCCCAGGCAGACGGGGCTTTCTACAGGGACCAGCAGGCCAGCTGCCTCCCGCACAGCTCCCCGCAGGCCCGTCTTCCTGCCTCCCCTCCCAGGCCAAAATCAGCTTTCTGTCTCTAGCTCGGCAAGGAGGAGGAGGAAGGGGAGCAGGGGGAGGACGGAGAGTGCTATTCTGTGGGAGGGTGGAGCGTACGATGCGGGGCAAAGGAGGAGTGGTGGCCGCTGGCTGTGTCCCTTTCTTCCCGAGCGAGTTACAAACCAGCAGGGTCGCAGCATCGAGAAGCTTTCAGGGCCTGGCAGGCCTCGGGGCGCGCGAGAGAACATAATGGGACAGAAGCAGCCCGAGTGCACGCCGCCGGAGGGAGGCCAGGCAAACAGGCTTTTCTGGGGGGGGGGGGGGGGGGGGGGGGCCCGCTGCCGGCATTGTCTTACTCCAGCTGGGAGCAGTGATGGGCTGTGGTTAGCCACGGCACCTTTCACCTCCCGAGCTGGGAGCGATGATGGGCTGTGGTTAGCCGCGGCACCTTTCACCTCCCGAGCTGGGAGCGCGGACATGACCAGCATGGCAAGCGACTGGCAGCGGCGCTGTCCCCCGCCCGAGCCAGGCCCACCGGCAGAGAGAGGGGCTCGCCAGGCACAGACGAGCACCTGTCCCATGCCACTGGCCTCAGGCACGCAGCTGGAGCCCTTATCCTCCAGATCTCAGCCCAACTGTCAGAGGTCAGCTTTCCCCAACACGGCTGGTCCCCGGTTCCCTCATCTGTGACCCCCACACCCCGTCTTCCTGCCACTCTGTGTCCCGGTGGGCGATTGTCAACTCTCTCTTCTTCCCTCCAGGCTTTACCCTCCAGGGGACACGCCCTCTGCGTGTCCCCTGCCTAGGCCCTGCGTCTAGTGCAGGGTGGGTGCGTGCTAACTGGGGGGTGAGTACTCAGACGTCAATGAGACCTTAGTCATCGGCAGGGCCGGTTCTAACTGAGCACCTAGCATGTGCTGGGCACTGTGCAAGGGTCAGAGCTCAGTCCAGCCTCACTGTCACCCACAGGGAGGGAAACCGGCTCCAGGCCCCACGGCTAGTTAGGCAGGCAGCCAGCCCCGGGCCCTGTTTGGTCTTAAGCCGGATATTCCTAACCCTGAGCCAGAACACCACCGGTCTGGAAAGAGGCAATCATGTCACTTCTTACTAAAGATTGAGTCAGATGAAAGAGAAAGAAAGACAGGAGAGAGCTTTGTCGAGGACCTACTGTGTGCAGGGAGCAATGCCAATGCCAAGTGGTTTCATTTGAGCCTCCCAACTCCCTGGAGAGAGGTGCTATTCCCATTTTTCTGAGGTACAAACTGAGACCCAGAGAAGTCTAGTGACTTGCCTGAGGGCACACAGCTCTGCACACTGCAGAACAGACAACCCCATTCCACCACTCCCTATAGCCCCAGCAGTTCCTAAATCCCAGATGGTCCCCCTTATCGGACCTGGGCTCCAAATCCAGGTAGGGCAGTGGTTGCAAACAACGGCCCACAGGCAGATCCAGCCCACAGCCCATTTTTGTAAATGAAGTTTTCTGGGCACACAGCTATGCCTGTTCACTCACGCGTGTCTGTGGCCGCATTCTCACACTGCCAGGCCAGAGCTGAGTCGCTGCAACAGAGACCCTATGGCCCGCGAAGCCTAAAATATTCACTGTCTCACCATTTATAGAAGAAGCTTGCAGCTGCCAGGCCAAAAATGGCTGCCCTCATTTTATCCCAAAGCCTCTCACCATGACCCGCTTTTTTCAGAGAGCCTACAATTCCAGAGGCATCGGAACCCCCTCCACCCCTCTGCCCAGAGTCCTCTGCTCAGGGACTCCAACTTTCCCTGGAAAGGGCCCCATTTTCCCTTCTCACTTGGCTCCACTTTCATTGATTACTTCGCTCAGTTCTTCAGTGGTAGCTGGTCATCCGGCCCTTACTCAGCACAGAGCACAGCAGTGAACAAGAGAGAGGGTCCCTGCCCGCATGGAGCTTATGTTGAGGGAGAGACAGAGGACAACAAAGAAAAAGTAACATCACAGTTCTGATGTTGGCAAGCCCTGTGGAGGAAATGAGAAGAGAAAGGAGAATAAAACATACTCCTCAGGCAGGGAGAAGGGGGAGAGGTTTCCATCTGGGGGCTGGAAAAAGTCTTTCTGAAGAGTCAGCGTTTCTGTGTGATGCAATGGTGCCAGCCAGCCAGACAGATCTGGGGGAAAACATTCCAGGCAGAGGGAACTGCAGATGCAAAGGCCCTGGGGCAGAAGCATGTTCCAGCAGGTCCTTGTGCCTAGAGAACTGGTCCAGACTGGAGAATGGTGGGAAGCAGAGCTGGAGAGGCCAGCAGAGCTCCCTGTGGGGCCTTGTGGGGCGTGGCTGGGAGCGTGGCTTTTATTCAGGTACACTGGGAAGTCCCTCCAAGATTTAAAGAGGGGAGTACCCTGGCCTCATTTACACTGCCAGACCTTATCCTTGCTGCTATCTGGGGCATGCATTGTAGAGAGGCAGGAATGGAGGTAGGAGTCCCTTTGTAGTTGTCCCAGCAAGCAAGCGCAGTGGCCTGGGCGGGGACAGAGACCAGGGGCAGAGAGAAGCAAGTGGGTTGAGTGTAGTGGTAAAGGTGGAGCCAGCCGGACTTGATTCTCAAGACAGGAGGAGTTAGGGCGGGTGCCGAGACTTTTGCTGGAGTCTCTCCGAGAACGGTGGTGCCCATGACGGGCGAGGCCCGGGAAGCTGGGGAGAGCGGGTGGGGGGTGTTGTGGGCAAGTTCGCTGTGAGACTCTCTCAGGCTTCCCGCGGGGCGTCACACGGATAGATGTATGAGTTCAGAGCTCGGGGGCGAAGTCTGGCCTGAGATATAAATTTGGAAGTCCTCAGCACACGGATGAGATTTAAAGCCTGCCGCAGCTCACCCCGCCCCCACCCCGCAACTGAATCATTCAGAGGATGGCACGTTTGCAACAGATCGGGACCAGGAGAGCCCGTTACCCCCACAGCAGCCCTGGCAAGTGTGCCTCCTTGATCCTGGCCATGAAAACATGATCATCGGCCTTTCAAAACCACCATCAGGAAAGTTCAGGCAAGTATGTGAAGTTAGAGAATTTATTATTTCAAATATCCCTCTGCTGTGCATCTCCCCAGCCATCTGGAGACAGAAGTTTCCCGTAAGCTCCCCGCCTCATTTTTATTCCTCAATTTGGG